GGTGGTGGTGGGCAATTTTCCGAACGTCACGGCAACGAACCACCTCTCGTTCGCCTCGTCAGCGATTTTCGGTCGGGCGCTGATTAAAACGACGGCTTTCCGATAAAAGCGCCGAATTCCCGCGAATTTCTGTTGCAACCGGACTCGGCGGGCTGCCCGTTGTTTCTGCAATCAACTGCATTGCACAACCGGGGCGGGCCGCGATCGCCGATCGATTTCATCTCGCGCGCGACGCGCGCCCGCTCGCGCGCGATGGACAGGAACGCGTAAAAAAAATAAAATACCGGAGAAAAAAGGGGGACGCTGGTAATCGCGCGTCCGGAACGGCAAATTGATTCGCATCATTGAGAATGTTACGAATTTATCCGCCGGCTGTTGATTGATATCGCGAGTCCCGGATGTCGCGAATTCTCCCGATTTTTCGATTCGCCGCCGCCGCCGTCGCCACTGCCGCCAACGCGCGCGTTTGTCCCTTCACGAGCTGGACAATGAAAAAATCCGCGCTGCAAGGTTTTCCGAAAGCACCGAAAACGGACAGGAGTGATCGCGGAAAAAAAATGGGGATTCTTCGCGGCGATTCAATCGAGTGCGTACTCGGCTGGGGTTCACCTCGTTGAAGCCGAATTATTTGCATTAGATAAATTTCGATTGAAAAGACTTGAATGATATTCGATCAAGAGAACGTTTAAGAACTAACGAAGGGTGTGGTGGTGTAATCAGATCAGTAAAAACTTGCAGTTATTATTTCGACAATTAAGTCGAAATTTCGATCCTACTCTCGACCTCAGCGTTATGCACCTCTATTGACAAATAAATTCCATACTTTTGACTATGTAAGTCACATTTGCAAGTTTTTACTTGCCTGATTACTCCACACCTGTGTGTATACAGACTCTTGTTGGCCCCTAAATGTTCTCTTGGTTATGGATATTTATCTTTGCGTGAGAGACGCGACTCGCCGAATAATTATCGTGCTCGAGACGCGGACAATCGTCGAACGACGGAGGATGACGAGCTGCCCAAGTGAAGAGCAGCTTTACTCCTTCTCGAAGTTAAATTCTCTCCGAATTTCTAATTCGCACGAAGGTCGTCGAGCATCGCGAAAGGACCTCGCGGAAAACTTTTCAACGTCGGGAACAACGTCCAAGTCGCTCGTCGAAGAGTCTATCGTTGAAGAAATGTTCTTTCCTGAGATATATCCCTCCGGTTCGTCCCGATTTCACCTGCTTGACGCGGCAACGCTTACGCAGTAGAGTCGAGAAAGAGGATCAGAGCACCGCGGTTCCCTGAAAAAGCACGCTCTTCCCCTCTTAGAGGCACGACAATACATCTCTCTTAATTAATCGTCCCATTTTATCGCTAATATGACGTCTCTCTAACGTCCGCCATTGCGTTGGTAATCGGTCTAAAAATTTGTCAGGATCATGCAACCAAGGAGAAGACGCTCCAGACAATGTCGAACATGTCGAGCGCCCAGATAGTATCAGCTGGAAGTTCGATACACAACAAGATGACCCCCGCCCTCGTGGGGCACCTTGCCCTTCACGCTTCCACCCCTGTCTCCTATCCCGGAGCGGTAAGTCCTGATCTGACGGTGAGAGAAAGAGAGAACCCTCGAGGGGGTAGAAAAAGAGAAAAAGGAGATGGAGAAAGAGAAAGACACACTCTTTGTCGGCCTTTCTCTTCTTCAAAAGAGCCACGAGCTTGTTGGGGGCTTGGATGACGCGACGACGAGACGCCGTGTAATCGCGGATTCGCTTAATTCGCCGTAACGACAGTGGCAGTTTCGCCATGATAAATCGAGCCTCTCGGGCGAAACACGAGCGAGACGAGTTCTCGATCCCTCCCTCGGGCTTTACACGATAATTATTACGCGACGCGTTTCTTTCGATCTTTTTAATTGGATTCTCGTCGATCGGTCTTTTATTCGTTTTGTTTGTATCGAAAATGCGAACGACAATGGCGAGCTTTGCTCTTTTGCGAGCGGAGATTTGTCAGGCAGATGTTTTGGCACGATTTTGGAATATTTGTGCGTTTTAATCAATATAGCGAGTTCTTTGTATAAGCGAACAAAATGAAACACTCCCATCGGCGAGAGAGTCAACGCGAACGAATTAATGAGAAGAAGCGGTTAATAGTTTGCTTTGTGACTTTGGCGCGAACAAACAACATATTGTTATACGTTTGGGATCGAGGAGGGGGATAACAAAAACGAAACACGACACGCAATACACGATAACGTCCGTGTGTGAAAATTCACGTTTGGTGTGGTCGTCCTTGGCTTGTGTTAATAGCTGTGTTACCTGAAAAACCTAGTCTCATGCGAAATACTCGGATTTCCATCCCGAGTTAGATCAAAGTTTTTCAGCTGAATTATAATGTATGCGACACTTAGGCTCGTATTAATGGTTATTACTTGAAACTCGTCTCGAGTGAAACACTTGGATTTGAACTCAGAGTTAGATGAAAGTTTTTTCAGTTGAATCGCGACTATAGATGTAAGTATCATATATATCATAATTTAACTGAAAAACTTGGATCTAACTCGCAATATAAATTTGAAAATCTTACACACACACACACACACACGAGATAGTTTCAAGTGACAACTATTAACACAGGTTTTAGATCTGTAATCTCGTAATTCAACTGGAAAAACTCTCATCTAACTCTGAATTGGAAGCGTTTCACTCTAGACGAGTCTCAAGTAATAACTATTAATACACGAGTCTGGGTGATCGAAAGCCTCGCACGGGGGCAGACCAGCGTCTCGTCGTCTCCGAGGATACGAACTCTACTTTTATCATCGGTATTGCCTCTTCTTTTTGAAGTTCGTGACTGTTCCTAACCGCTTCGCCCGATAACCGCTAATAATCCGCCTGTGGAGGGCAATCACTGCCGTGTGGTTTGTCAACTGACCTGCAAGTTTTGTGCCTCGTAAGAGGGTTGAATGCGATCGACACGCGCCGGTAAAAGCGTCTCGCGGCAAACGGCGTTCACGCGCAGACAATGTGTGTCTCGAGACAATGTGCATTCGCGATCACGCGAAGACTTCGGAAGAAATACTTGAACGTTAGTCTCTCTCTGTGTGTGTACACGCGCGCGTGCACACACACGTAGAATGCACGATGATTTCTCGAAAATTTGCGTGTGAGCGTCGCAAAAATTGAAACCACGTTCGCGTTCAAATAGCTCTCAGTGTTGCGTGCGACGTTTGAAAATACTCTCGTATTTTTAGACGGTTCAACCGTGATTGTTCCGAATAAAGATCAGCCAAGACAGAAGTTGAGAAAGGGACGGTATTAATCGATCGCCCAGGGGGAGACGGGGAGGACGGTGTGGATAGCTTTTATCGTGTCCTCTTTCTTTTTTTGTTTCTTTTTCTTTCAATTACATTCACTTCCTCTCGCTTCTTCTCCGCGCGCTCTCTTCGTGTCCGCGATTGAAAAAAAAAAGATAGAAAGAAAAAAGAAATAGCGGGTGAACAAGAGACGAGAAGGAGAGCAGAGGACGAAGAGAGAAAGAGAACAAGAGCGACGAGAACGGCGAGAGCGAAGATGTTTCCGCAAAACCTCGATACCGCGGACTTTCTACTCTTTATGGCGAAGGCTTGTGCGTCAAAGACTAACCACCCCTCGCAAAAGCGACGTTCTCCCGCTCTCTGCTGCTACGCCCCTGGGGGCCCTTGTTGTGTATTGTTGAATTTGTCCGTTGCTCTATCATGTACATAATACATATGTATCAGCTGGGCACGTACGTACACTTACATACACTCACCCGCACACATGAGCACGCGTGCACACATACACACGCACGCACGCACATGCAACAGATACACGGGGTGCATATTCATAAAACAATGGACGTATCTGTATAATGAGAAACGTCGTTGTGGCTTACCAAACTATCTCTCCTTCTTTCTCTTCGCGAAATAATATTGCTGGTGTCTTTTTATTGTTGTGCTGCTGCTATTGTTGTTGCCGTTATTATTGTTATTGCTGTTGTTCTTTACCAAACGCTCGCGTTTATTTGTTCCATCGTTCGCACACTTTTTCTATGTTTCGCACCGATCATATTTCGCCCGAGGGCTCGATGGTTCATGGAAAAAAAATCTTTCCTCTTCGCGACAACGAAGGCTTCTCATCGAAGCGATTTTGTATGATTTTCTTTCTGTTTTTTTTTTTTTTTTTTTTTTTTTTTTTTTTTTTTTTTTTTTTTTTTTTTTTTTTTTTTTTTTTTTTTTTTTTTTTTTTTTTTTTTTTTTTTTTTTTTTTTTTTTTTTTTTTTTTTTTTTTTTTTTTTTTTTTTTTTTTTTTTTTTTTTTTTTTTTTTTTTTTTTTTTTTTTTTTTTTTTTTTTTTTTTTTTTTTTTTTTTTTTTTTTTTTTTTTTTTTTTTTTTTTTTTTTTTTTTTTTTTTTTTTTTTTTTTTTTTTTTTTTTTTTTTTTTTTTTTTTTTTTTTTTTTTTTTTTTTTTTTTTTTTTTTTTTTTTTTTTTTTTTTTTTTTTTTTTTTTTTTTTTTTTTTTTTTTTTTTTTTTTTTTTTTTTTTTTTTTTTTTTTTTTTTTTTTTTTTTTTTTTTTTTTTTTTTTTTTTTTTTTTTTTTTTTTTTTTTTTTTTTTTTTTTTTTTTTTTTTTTTTTTTTTTTTTTTTTTTTTTTTTTTTTTTTTTTTTTTTTTTTTTTTTTTTTTTTTTTTTTTTTTTTTTTTTTTTTTTTAATATAACATCGCGACGATTCACGTAAAGCTCGGTCAGTCGTGCGAGGAGGATTTCGAAGATGCGACCTCGCGGAAATTCGACGACTCGAGAGAAGCCGTGGCCTCGTATGCGGACGGATTGTCGACTCGCCCCCTTGTATCGCGACAGTGTTAATGCAATTACGCGCGATATAACAAAACGCATTGTCGTTCGAATTTCGCGTCGGTGCGTTCGACAACGACGCGACGCGTCAATTATTTAATGGCCGATTGGAACGGCGAAACGAGTTATTACTCGTTTAATTAACAAACGACCGGTCGATGCACATACCTGATCGGATAGACAGCTCGGCTGCGCTCCAAACCGCGACGTGACAATCGCGCGACGCCTTTAACTCCGAGTCGCGTCTCTTGCGCATTTTCAGCAATTCTGGCAGCCAGGACTGCAGCCGGGAACGTCTCAGGATGTCAAGCCGTTCCCCCAGCCCGCCTACACCGGGAAACCGGCAACGGCGGTCTCGAGTGGCGACATGGTCCAGCCGGCGCCGCCGCCGCCGTGGGAAGGACGCGCCATCGCCTCCCACAAGCTCAGGCTCGTCGAGTTCACGGCCTACATGGAGCAGCACAGAAATCAGGAGATGGTGAGTGGACGTACGATGATGGGAAGCGGGATCCCGGGTTATTCTTGCAGAGAGAAGAAGCTGCGAGAAATCGCGTATTGCTACGAGGATCTCATTGCGATTCTCTCCTTCAGCTGAAACCAAAAGAAAATTCAGAAAATTAGTAGAGTCACTCATAGAAGATGATCAACTTCATTCACTGATTTCATTGACACTCATTTTCATAGATATTTGTACGTAAAATGTTCATCAAGAAAAATATGCCCAACAATTCGTAGCTTGAGATTGTTTTGTTTCACCTAACAAGCATAAATGCATTGAGATCTTTCATATTACTTGAATATCTTTCATATTACTTGAATCAATTGTTATCCGCGGCAACAAGCTCGCCTTAATGTGGGTATTTTTAATACGGAGGGAATGATAAACCACGGCAGTGCAAGAAGCTGATGGCAAGCAGCGAGGAGCGTGTAATGGAATATGTCAAGGGATCCAGTTTCTGTTTACGGTTAAACAACGATGACTGAACGAGCAGCACGTTATTCACGCGTGAACTTTTCTCCTTTCTCTTTCAGTACCACAGGCACTTATTCGTCCAGATAGGGGGTCCTGCAGTTTACGGAGATCCGTTGGAAGCAGTCGACATTAGGCAGATATACGACAAATTCCCGGAGAAGAAGGGCGGTCTGAAAGAACTGTACGATAAGGGACCTCAGGCGGCTTTCTTCCTCGTTAAGTTTTGGGCTGATCTCAATACCAACATCCAAGACGAAGCTGCTGCATTCTACGGTGTCACGAGCCAGTGAGTCACGTCTGTCTATCTATGATCCGTTTGTTGTCTATCTTTGCGTCCCTGTCTCCGACTTTCTCTCATACTGATCTTCTCACGATACACGACGAAGCGTGCATTCTTTCATTCTGTTGTCACGATTAGGTACGAGAGCAACGAACACATAAAGATGATAACGTGTTCGACGAAAGTGTGCTCCTTCGGCAAGCAGGTGGTGGAGAAGGTGGAAACGGAATACGCCAGGTTTGAGAACGGCAGGTTCGTCTACCGCATCAGAGAGTCGCCCATGTGCGAATATATGATCAACTTTATTCACAAACTGAAGCACCTGCCGGAAAAGTACATGATGAACAGCGTTCTCGAGAATTTCACCATCCTCCAGGTACGTCGCAGGACGACGATCTTTCAGATGGGACATTGTCTGAGATTTTGTTCGAAATAAGATATGAAAGAATCAAGTATAAGTTATCCGTCGCAATAATGCGGTAATTTGCGCGAATATCGCGAAGCGATAATGACGATCGTGCTTCTCTTCCGTTCCAGGTTGTCACGGATAAGGATACGCACGAGACATTACTGTGCACGGCGTATGTGTTCGAAGTATCGACGTCCGAACACGGTGCTCAGCATCACATATACAGATTGGTCAAAGACTAGCCTGCTTGAACTTGCTCGCCATGCAGCCATCCACCCCCATCAGTGCCTACCATCACATAAAGATCATCCATACGCGTATACACTGTACGAACACATACACAGAACATACGGAACACACATGTACAACTACATACAAGCAAACACACGTACACACATGAAACGCGACACGACGCATCGATACGTGGGTGTAAAAGACACACACTCACGGGAAGATATTCTCGCGTCCAGACAAGTTTCTACGGAAGATATTCGGTCGATGAGAGAAGATAAAAATAACTAGGATAATATAATAATAAATAGGAGAATTGTCCATTATAAACCCTTGATCCAGCGAAAACAATTCACTTGAGTTTTCACTTGAGAGTTTTAGAAAGAATTCCCACTGTACAGTATAAAGATCGCAAACGCATTTCTTGAAATGCGTCTCTACATTTTTATCCCTCGAGAATTCTTGCGCGTTTCTATAAAAACGTGGAAGATGTACCCTAAGACACGCGAATATTTTCCGTGGAACGCCTGGAGAAGAACTCGAAAAACACATGCGTACACCGTACGTGCACGTACGACAGAGTACTGGCCAGCCCGAGCTTGAGTTTGATTCGAAGTTTATATACCTTTTAATAACTTATTGGTCTAAGAGTTTGGATGCGTGTTGCAGGATGGCATCTTTGTACGCACATCTCGCGCGATGTCTTCGAGGGCCGTGTTCTCACAGACATCCTTTAAAACTTGTTCTATCGAAAAAAATTTTCGGAGGACTACTAAGGTGGACCTGATATGCGAGCCTGAGATATGTCGCGCGCGTGTGTGCGCGCGCGCAGAATTGTAAATTTTATAATACAAATAGATATAAACGTATAGATATTTTATGACCGTGAATCGTCAACCATCTTAATCGGCGTGTCCGATTCGTCTCGGGATTTTAAATGTAATAAAGGGAATAAAATAAATTAAGTTAAAATCGACAATAAATTTTGGTGTGAAAGTGCTTATTAAAGAGAATAAGCATGTACCAGAAGCAAAGAGAAAAACAAGAAGAACAAAACACAGAAACAGACTCTGACCTCGGAAAGGCATGGTACCAACATGATCTAGTATTATAGTTTTATTATTAAATTAGGCGATAGAGAAACCCCCAACAAAACACACTGATACACAAATATACATATATTACGTATATAAGAATATATATGTTAAATATTAATGCAATGATTACGATTTACATTGTTATAAATGATCGTGTATAAAGTTATCTAAGTGATTTCTCTAAGTTTTAAAGAAAAATGTGGAAGTTTTACTCGAGAGATATGCCATTACGAAGAAGTTTTAAGTATCCTAAATTTACGTTTGTATCGTTCGTATAATATTTTTTTTTACTAATTAGATACCGAGAGGAACGAACAACACACCCATACACACACGCGCACTACACGTACGTTTCCTTTTGAAGCTTCGTCGCAGAAACGCTTCTCTTATCTATATTGTATCGTGCAAGAATTTTTATCATTATAAGAACACTCTCGCTGCGGCGTTCTTCATCGTGCGACACGGAATAACGGACGATGATCACTTTTATACGTTTTTAAAAATCTTTTAAAGCGCACCTAATGTGCAAACCCACCCACTCTTAGGCAGCGACACTTAGGTTTAGAGGGATGTGTTTGTATTTCTTATAATCGTCTTACGTTGTATTCTAAGATCATTTTCTATAGTTTTTAAACACAAAGGATTTCTTTTTCGTACATATATTTTGTTTGTTTTTATCTTTCTACCACACTTACAAAGCAATGTATCGGATCACGTGAATTTACGGATAGAAGCATAGGCCACCGTTACACATGCACACACACACAACACACTCATGGCATCCACAAATATGCACACATAGACCTGACATAGCTATGTGATAGAGACTTATGATTAGAGTTTTCTCCGAAAACCCGACCTTGGCATTTTTTGCCGGGGGGAATGTATAGAAACCTGTCTCACTCAAACGTAACGCGAGATGTATGGCAACTTCTCGTAATGTCACACACACACACACACACACAGATAGCTCGTATTCTCAAGTTACACATACGTCGTTCGCGATCGTCTGATTTCAACACTGCTCCGCAAACCTGTCTATAAGCTACAATAAAGTATTTTTCAAAGCGTTGATAACGCTAGGCGGGATAAAGTCCCGTGTTGCAAAAACATTTCGTACTTAATAATATATTTTACGCGCTTGACAAACATACACCTAACAGATGCATACGTACACACATACACATGCACGCACGCACGCACGCACATGGACCATGGAACTTACATACAGAGATTTTTCATGAACTCAGTGGCAATTGTTTAAACAAGTAGAGGACCACACCCTGCAGTTTTGATTTTATTTAATCGCATCTCTCATATAGATTATTACGCGTAAATGCACAGCAACTCTTTTTACTTATTCTTTTATCCAATCTGTTGTGTGTTCCCGAAACAGGACTTGCCTATCGAGCGGTGAACGTTAACATAAGCGAGAAGAGATGGTTATGTGTATATTTTAAGGAGATAATCTTACTTATTGTATTCTTACTTTAACTTTTACGGAACAAGTGGCAATGTATCTTGATCTCTCTTTTAGTCAGAAATACGTCGCTTTTTATTTGGAGTGAGAAGTGAATTTACTATTACGGTTGACCGGAAGTTATAGAGAGGAATTTATATTTAATCGCGATATATATGTGGATATATGTTTTTTTCTCTTTTTTCTGTTTGAACCACTGGCAGCTTTCAATACCTTTTTACTTATTATTTTTATTATTATTATTATTATTGTTGTTACCGTTTTTCTTTCGTCTCTTCTTTTTTTCTCATGAATATGATGGATCGAATAGTTTTCGACTTGTCGCGTTGATGTGAAATTTGCAAGAAATCGAGCGTGCATATCAAGCGAGAATCGTAACCACGGCCATGCTATATATACGAATAAGTTATTTGTGATGATTTTGCTCAGTGCCCGTCGTAAAAGCCAAAAGTTTTCTTCTATTTTTATTACAACGAACAAATCAGCGTCACGTGGTTACACATTGGATCGCACGGTAATCTCTGTTCTAATCGGAACGCGATTCAAGATACGAAGGAAATTCTGACTGTCTCTTCTACACAAACTTACTGTCGTCTTTACAAAAAAAAATATATATATATATATATATATATATAAGTACAAAAATCTTGTTTGCAAACTTGATAATCGTCATAATTGTCCATTACGCGTTTTGAATAGAACAGAGCTTGTCTGTGGCGCGCTATTAAAACGATATCATTTTTGAGAACCGAACCAGCGCATTATCTTCAAGAAGATACTCACAGGCTATTCAGTTTAATCATGTAGACTCTTATTTTGTATGAACACCCGTAGAAAGATGAACGGAGTATGAAATCGAAAAAAAAGAAAAAAGGAGTACCGATACTAATATTATTAACATTAACAAGTAATGATTTTAAAGTAAGCGAATTACATTTGTAAGGAAAGATTATGAAAATATATATTTATCTATGTCTTCTGTGAAGATAGAAAATAGTACTCTCTCACTCTATATTGATGATGATGATAATGATGATGGTAATGATGATGATGATAACGATGATGATAACGACGATGATGATAATGGTGATGATGATAACGATGTCGGAAAACGAGAGCCGGCAAAAAAAGAAAAGATACAAAATGCTGAAGTAGATCTAGGAGGGAAAAGGAAAAGAGGAGAAAGATACGACTCTATACTCTGTACACAATATTACATGATACGATCGATCGAGATTGACTCGGATTTGTTAAATATCTTTGTACATATTTACACAAAGACCATGTGAGAAATTGTTCAAGTTCCAGCAGCTAAATGTTTTCGTATCGTAAGAAGTAATCTTCACCGCGAGTAAAGGGAAAATCCAGTTTCACTTTGTAATACGTTCGGACAAATCTCGGCCCCACGTTCGTCGAAATTGCGATATACGCAAAAAAAAAAAAACAAAAAGACAAGAAGGAAAAAATTCTTGATGGATATTTTCATAGAGATCGTACTTTGCCGATTTTTCTCTCGCCATATGCGATTCCTCGATATCTGAGATTTTCACCGTGTTTACATCTTAATTTTTGTCCGCCGTAATCGGGCTTTTCTTCTTTGTCACAGCGCTGCTAAGTGACCGTATGTAATGTAATAAAGCGATGGAGAAGCGCGAGACGCTCTTAATTACGTCCTCCAGTGTGTGCTCGTTTTACTAAGTTAGCTCTCATCTCTATGAAAGTATTAACTGCAAATAAGCGCGCGCAATTGGCTCGTTAATTACAATTAATTCGGCAAAGAAACTCTTAGAAAAAAAACTCGCGTTTCTCCCTGAAAATTCTATTTATTCATATCCTGGAACTGCCATATCAAAGAATTGAGCTTGATTGTAAAGATGACTAAAAGAAAATTAAAGAAAAAAGAAACTATTGATCGGATGAGGAAAGGAAAAGGAAAAAACACAAGAGAATCTACCTGTATATTATCATAAATGAAACGAAATGAGGATCAAAGTAGTTGTTTTAACGAGTAAATGAAAATAAATAAAATGATATATCATTAAAATTAGAGGTTTAAAAATATAATAGAACTCAGTATATATGTACAGTATTTGAAAAACATGTTTATAATTTGTATGGAAAAAATAAATGATTGATATAAAATGGACGTGTATTCTTGTCATCTCCGCCGTATGGCATCGTTTCTTTTATGTGCATTCATTTTAGGTCGTTCATTTTTTCACGTAATATTCCTTCTTCCAAAACTAAATATCCCCTCGATAATAATAATTATTAATAATTATTTGCCTTCCTCCTATTGATGATTATTTGTAATGCGAATACAACTACTCGCTGTAGAATCGTGCCATTTGAAAATAACAAGTTCATTGGACCCGCCTCTAAGTTGAGCTATTCAAAAGTGAATATCCCTCGAGCCTGCTTGCATCTCGTATTACTCCAAAATAGAAAGGTTTTTAGACTTACTGTTAACTCCCGTATATGAAGACAAAGGCCGTTCGACGCACTTCGTTGAATCGTATTTGAAGAATGGCCGCCTAACCCGCCGTTGTATTATTTAAAAAAGTATCGTCCGACTAACCGCCGCTGGTTCGTACTATGATGATTTCGTTTCTTCTATGAGGACTATGGCGGCTCGTAGCGGAGACTTCGGAATTAATAACAGTAACGGGTCGAACCGTGTAGCCAATCAGCTGCTTCGATTTGACCCGTAATTTTTATTTGTTTCGATCTGTACTGTGGCGGCTCGTAGCGGAAACTTAAGAACTAATATCAATGACGGATCAAACCGTAGTTCCTGATTGGCTGCACGGTCAAAGAGTACTACGTGTTCAGTAAGCTCTTGTATCTGATTGGTGTATGTTTTTAAATCTAAAAGAATATGCCAACTGAATTAGAAATGTCATAAGCTGTAAGAAATGGCCAATCATAGCCGATTATCATTCTTGCAATAATCAACTGTGATTGGCCAATTTTTACGATTTACGACACCTATTATAGACCAGAGGCCTGTTCTTTGTAGCTGCACTACTGAACTAGTGCAATAAGTTAGAGTGAGAAAACGTATATTTGTTTCACTTCAATATATTGCACCAGTTCAGCAGTGCAACTACAAAGAACAGGCCTCAGGTCTGAGGGAATAGAGATAAAATCAACCAGAGTAATTTAGTGCGATAAGCAGCAATTTTCTCGAATGTTCGAGGAAGTTAACTCGTTAGTCTCTAATCAAACGATATATATACTCGGAAACAGTCATATATCGACTTTAGTAGTCGGCGCGCATGTTACTTTGACGCGTTCCTCGAGTGTCACTCTTTCACTTCGTCAATCGAACGAGCGTCCTGCTAGGTCTACAAAGGTGAGGAAGATCTTGTCGTGGCATGAAGAAACATAAAAATATTAATTTATATACATATATCTCTGCGACAACGGAGAAATTATTGCCCTATACGAACATATAATTACCAAGCAATTATCACTCATCTTCACATTTTACTATGATTTTACTACGATCACACATCCTACGATTAAAGAGATGTATAAAGAAAAGTTACGATCAACTAGCGACGTGATTTGGTGTTTCATAGATATAAGTAATTTTGAAATATTTACATTTTAATTTACATTTACATTGTAGCTTTGATCTCTGAGGGAGTTCTTAATAATGAATTTAGGTTAGGTGTCAAAGTGACGTTGATAAAAAACGATAGATTCCTACGATTAGACAATTCTTACGTCTCCACTTATCGTCTTGATCGCGTAAAACAATGACGTGTGCATTCCTTTATTAATTGTACAGTACTAAGCGAGTTAAAAATAAGTGAACGGCTATCATTTGATGTTCCGTAACCACGTTTGATCGCATATCAGTACAGTTGGGATCAAAACGATCGGGATTAATTCAAGGACAAGTGCAATATGTCATAACTAACTTAACATGACATAATCTCGGATACTTTGTGTATCGCGCGTATTTCCATCATATATATATATATATTATATATATATGTGTGTGCGCATATATACATGATTTGCGGAAAAACCAACCCGATCCAAGTAGAAATAATGATGGAGAATGAAACGCTTATGATGTAACAGCAAGGTCACTCTGAGAATAATTTTCGCGCGTAATTATAAATTGGTTATATATCATGCACGTGTAAACGATATGAAATCACTGAACACAATGACTTCATATTGTTCTAATTTGATAAAAAATTTCAGTAGCAGTATGACATAAATAAGGAAGTGCCTTAAGCTAAACGTGTCTGGAAATAATTTGCCTTGAGATTTCTGTTCCGATTGGCAACTTTTATTAATTTTTTTCAGGTTGACAGAAATCAGCACAGTTTACTTCTTTAAAAATGGCCGATTCCGATGATATGGTTGTAGAACAGTCTCTGACTGATAGATTGGTAGAGAAGAGCAAAAAATCACCCTTTCTTATGGCAGGTATGTATACACATGTATGAGTAACTTTATCATTTATGATAAATATATAATTATTATAAATTTCCATTACAACAACTTATTAATATGTAAGAATTTGTCATTTATCATTAGTATATTTCTCTCATGTAAACATTTTTTCTCAATAGGTTTAGCAAGTTTAACAGGTATTTGCGCTTATGGTGCTTATAACTTTAAGAAGAGACAAATAAGCACTCAATTGTATTTGACACAACTGCGTGTTGTCGCACAAGGAACAGCGGTAGCCTTCTTGACTCTTGGCATGGTTTATCATATGATAAGAAAGCACGTATTACATGATGAAAAAGAACCTTAATGCTGAATACAATCTGCTCTTGTAGTCAATTTTTTCTTCAAAATCAAAGCAAAGTCAAAATAAACCCTAGCTTTATGTGAAGAAATTGTTTGCGGAAACACATATATGTAATTTATCTTATTACAGACTACAGTTGATTATTGATTCCACTTTCAGTAGTTTATAACTTTATTTGAAAATTATCTCATCTTCAGTGATTAATAAGAACAAAGCAAATGGTGAAGAAGTATATTATTCTATATTAACATAAGCCTCTTGTGTTGTAAAAGATATATTTTTGTTATACAGAAAGTTTTCACGCGATCGCGGCAAGAATTATTGAAAATTATTTATTTATAAATTATGAATTCACTTTTACTTCGATAGATAACGATTTTTGTGTAAAATATTATACTTAATACATCAGAATTATACTGTGTGTTACTCAAATAAAATATTTATTTTTTCATGACATCTATTTTCCTGTTCGTTTATTGTATTATCTAAAATGCCTACCAAACTTGCAGTGCATAAAGAACAGAAAGTGAAACTTAAAATTTCAAGTAACTATCTCGTTGCAATTATATTCGCATATCACGTCTATATTTTAGATAACTCAAATGAGAGAACTATAAATGCAAATCAGATTTTCTAACGATACCAACTGCAGGAAAATCATGAAATTCTCGAGTATTGTTTGGCTGGCATCCCATGCTGACATGCGTCGCGCATGACAAGCCAATTTTTCATGAACGTAAACATCACTTTCTACGTTCAATTTGGATTTTATAAAAAAAAAGAAAAGAAGAAACACAAAAGTTGCACGTGTAATATGACGGACGAAAAACGTCAAGAGCAATCGTTCATTCTTGATTTACATGCGCAATATACTTCCTACGGAATGCACGTTCATGGAAATGGGGTTTAAATGGGGTTTAATCGCGCTCCCCGGAGCGAGATCTGAGAGACCGGCTCAGTAGAACGCCGTCGTAAGTCTCGTATTGGTCTCGCTGTTTCGTCGCACGAACGTGATATCACAGCAAAGTCAAATAAATGACGGTGTGTGACAGTGACAGTGAACGTGTGAGAGGTCAGTGATACGTAACAGCCCACGCTGCAATTGTCCAAAACACGGAACGTGGAAAAATGGCGGAGCAGAGTGACAGGAGTCAATTACCACCCGGTTGGGAATGCAGATACGACATTCGCAGCGGTCGTCCGTATGTAAAAAATTCGACATGGAATTTCGTTCCTCCTTCCTTTACTACTACTCCACCAAGATCTCTCCCAACCTAAAGGAGCGATGTCGCATTATATATACTGTGTCGTTACTGACCCTCGATGCATTTGAACCGCAAATTCTCAGACGAAAACGAGCTAAACAAATCGTCAACGTATGTGTCACGAAGGGAACATTGACGAGAAGAATATTTTGCGCGTCTTAATTAATTTGCATACGCAATGTTTAAGTGTTCTTTCTCTCGCTTTTTCTTTCTTTTTGTATCTCTCTAATGAGCGCATTAGTTTTAAAAATACTTATTATCGAAAATCGATTCGCGCAATGTTCTACGATGCGAAAAATTGAGTGTACTTTAATTGATAATTTTCAGATATTTCATAAATCATTTCAATCGCACTACAACATGGGAGGACCCCAGAGTGAGGTACTGGCAGTACTCGCAATACATACAATCTCAAAACTCGGTGGCCCTGAGTTCGGCCACCACCACCACTTCCCAAGATATTCCTATGCAGGTCAGTTAACAATTAGTTTAAGTTGCATACATATACATGTGCATAGCAAGGTCTCGCATAACGCGGTCAATAAGTCCATCAAGAGACTTTATGCATATACTGTGTTTATGTATAAAAATAAAGTATATCCTATATTTATCTATAATCAGCTATAAAGTAATTCTTAATGGAAAAGAATATCTTTGAGGAGAAATAACACTTTTCTCTAGTTGGAAGCAACTCAGATATATGTATATATGTGTTAGATATATATAAATTTTATATATATCTAACATCTCTAATTGAATTGTCACCTAATTAGATATTGAAAAATCAGTATTATACAATCTAATATTATATAATGAGATTGTTCAAACAAATAAAGCACATTATGTGAGATATTGTTTACTTAATAAATGTGCTCTTTTGTATATATGTGCAAAAATATGTCCTATATATATATCTTGCACTCAAATCACATTGCATATCATTACACTGTAAATGTATGTATTCTTGTGATATGCACACGCTGCATTTGGATAACACACACAATATACCACAAATAAATAGACCGGAGGAAGCGGAGGTGGTGGGCACTTAAGTTATACAGGTGCTCACAGAGCCCCACAAATCTATCCAACACCGTCCCCTTATCATAATCCACAACTAGCATTTTTACCTCCCAGTGGGCAGGTAAGTAGATATCGATATCTGAATCAGTCCAATGTTAGTGAGGCATGAATATGTTTGCCAGTGAGTTAACTGTTATGATCTTACAATGTTTGTTCTTCCCTTGACCGATTATATAATTAGAATTTGGTGTATGTGCAGGAGCTGAAAACTCCATTATCGCTGAAATCCACCAGCGCGGTGACAACACGATTTGGTGATTTGACTCTGGGATCACCGACTCCGGTGCGAAACACAGAGACGAGTTTTACTCAAAACACGGATTCGGAGTCACAAGTAGCGAAAATCAATGCTGTGTTCCCGACCGTTTCCGACACGCATATTCGTCTCTTACTGAAAAAGTAAGTCAACTTATCGCGCAAGATAAGGCTTATCCATTGGCAAGATCTTATCTCAAATTCGATTACTCACACTATCTAACATTTTCACATACAATCAACATGAATATCAATATCGATATCGATATGAATATCAAATATATATATATATATATATATATATATATATATATATATATGTATATATAAAGTATTAGAGATAATTAATTTTTTAAACCACATATCGATCGAATCTGTCCTCCGCTACTATTTCTCTAAATTAGCACAATGTTAGATTTGGTGCTAAGTCGGCAGCCAATGTCTTTCAGATACCATAACAGAGCAGCTTTGGTCATGAGTGCTCTTCAAGTGGAAAAGAATCCTCTTTGTGCACCAGGACCGTGCACACCTGTGGGAGTGCATTCGCATTATGCAATCCCGAGATGGCGTCTACCAGCTCACGCTATACACGCAGCATTAACATTGAGTCCGCCTCGCGGGGTCCGGCCAGCCCCTAACTCCCCAAAAATGAAACTTAGGTTTAACCCACATTATAATTTCAGTCTCTCTCACCCAGTCTGGATGCTAGATGTTGATATCGTACCTCGTAATAGCTCCAAAGAGATATACCAGACGAGCAGCACTGCCACCTTTTTTTGTATTTCTGCAACTGTCTGGTATATTTCACACACGTACACGACATTATCGATATGAAGCAAATGGCATGTACGAAGGATCCATGCATCTCTTTAAATTGCTTTTAGACATTGAGTACTCGAGATGAAATGAATTACCTAAATTGATCGATTGTTTCAAGATTATTTTTAATAATTTATATCGTGCACGGTATTGTATACGAAGTATTGGTTTATCTCTTGCTGTTAATTTTATTATGCTTTTGTTGCATTTAAGAAAAAAAAATTATCTTTTATTTATTATATAGAGCAATAATATCCAGTTTTGTGATGTTTTTATTATTTAAGCTTTTATTTAATCTTTCAGTTTCTTCCTGGTTTACAGTACCGTACATGTTGGATAGTATGAAATTTACACTAGAATAGGTTAGTTTATCGATATCATTTTTATTTGACATTTAGTGGCACAAAGAGTAAAGCTTATATTGTTAATTAGATATTGTTATGTTAGTTATTATTTTACAAACATATCTCTATCGGAATAAAAGAGTTTTCACATGTACCTCTTCGATGTATAACAACTTGAAATCTGATTTTGCTGACAAATGTTATGTATGATAAATTATTTATGATAGCAAGAAAACTTGTTTATTCCGAAATGAAACCAAGTCTAAGCATGATTTAGTATGTACGTGTGTAATGTGTCAAAAAGATACTAATAAAGGTGCAGAATAATCCAACATGAAGCAGAAAAGGCTTTTATCGTAAATTTATTTTTGGACATTGATCACATGCACATACATGATATGTAATGTTAATTATTATTCTTTATATGTTTATTAATCTGTTACGTACACGAGCCACGTTTAAAATAAAATTTATGTTAAATTATTTTGATTATTTCAGTAAATCAAAGTATAATTTAAATATATTATGTTGAATGGTACATAAAGTGCATAAAATACGTAATGCATCATATTATGTTTGTATGTCGCGCACGTAGCAGTGGTACGTTTGTATTAAACATTTATATGCTTGGTATGTGTGCACAGGTACCTGAAAAACGTATTTCCAAAAGCGGATGAAACGATATTGCTAGAAATACTTGAACAGAGCGATAACAACGTGCAGAAGGCGTCCGAGAGGCTAATCGACTTAGGATATGAGAAACGGAATCCTACTCTTCCCGCCAAGGCTCTAGCGAAAAAGAAAGAACAGGAACAGGTAATCGAGAGCCTCATACGTGTAATATATCATCTTGCGCAAAAGAAAAGAAGAAGAAATCTGTTTTTCTAGGCACAAAGCGAACCAGCCGCTCCCACACCTCCGCCAAGAATGAAAAGCGCGGAAGAGAAAAATAAAAGTACGTATTCCATAATCCTTGTTTCCACTCTACTCACCGATAAACTTCACGAGGAAAATGTTTCAGTGAAAGCGCGTTTAATGGAAAAATATAAGACAGTGCCAGATCGAGTGGTGATGCTTGCCATGGATAGCGTAGATTATGACGAGGAGAGAGCAATACATATATTAGATATAGTAGTAGCGGAAGAAGCTACTCGACCAATATGTACTTCTAGTAGCCAAAGGTAAAGTTTCAAGTTTTCAACATACGCGTCTGTACGAAAATTTTCTTTTTTTTCTTTCTCTTATCACATATTGAATATTGCAGTAGCAGAAGCGACGAACGAAAAGATAGTCCGCCAGTAACAGAAGCTATAAAATTAACAGCTTCCCCGATTAAGAAGATAAGTAAAGAGGGAGAGACTGAAAAGTTGAAACGGTCCAAAAATAAGACTGAGATACCGAAGTAAGATGTTTGTTTCAAAACTTTTTAAATAATTTCATCTTCCGTGGATCTTTGTGTAAATATTTCAATACTCTGGCTCACGTAATGATATTTTATTAACAATGTTTTGCATGTCCCATTAGAGTTTCACGTGGAACTAGCACTACGGAAGACAAAGAATATAAATCCCCTTATTTAACCAAACCAATAGGAACGAACACAGATTTACTAAAAGGAGCTGATAACGATCTATTGTTGTATGTTTAAAAGAATAACTATCATCAAATTATTGACATGCCGTGTAAGATCTTCGCGGATATTAACTAAACGGAAAATTTCAGGCCGGATTACGCGCCATGGTCAGGACCGGATCCCAGCTTACTATACAAGCAACCATTCTCAAGATCGCTTGCGATAGGACACGATGGGAATTTGCTCTCTACGAATCATTGTCTCGCTAAAGGTGCGCAACCTGAGTTACGAAAAGGACCAATAAGGGGATTGGCTCAGGGTTCCATTTATTCACAGAGGAATGTTGCTAATACGGAGAGTCGCGGTAAATGAAATATGTGCAATTGTTTCTTTCTTGATATTTTTGCCTTTGTTAAATAATAAGATATTTTATCCTAATTTAGTAGCAACTGTTCAATTGTTGCGAAAAATTACCTCAGGACATTATTAATTTATATTAATTATACCTTAGAACGTCATTAATTTTATATTAAATATTTGTTTTATGTTTATTACGGGGATATTGATCTATTATATTTTTTACGTTATACTTTATTCTAGTTTAGTAAAGATTTGTATTTTGTTGACTATCAAATCGTAATAAATATGAATTTATTTCTCTATTTTATTTATATTTATTGCGTAAGCCATTTGTTTATAGAGAAATAGGAAAGGGAAGAGAGGAAGTTTATACTTCCGAAAAGTTATGAATTTTAAATAAGATGTGAACGCATGTAAATTACGTCATATGCATCGATCTTGCCAAAATTTTTTAGATTGGTCATTGTAAATGTAACTACATATGTGTGAACATAAGTAAAAGTTCAAAAATGTCGGAATATTAAAAAAGTGCAGCAATGAAGCATCTAAAAGCAGGCCATTCTTTTAGACGTTTGATGTTTTAGCTGCGTTACACCAAGTTACATACATACAGAATATGTCAGATGTATAAGAAATATCAGATTTTTGGGAAATAATGCAGGATGATTGAGATGTGGTGTAATATTTTCCAGTGGCAAATACACTATTAGATCTTCCTCATACACACACGCAATTATGCTGTATATCTCGCAGAATTCTACTCTAATACATACTATAATGACATATATAAGATACTATATAAATTACAGCATTTTCATCTTTGACATATCTTATTCAGTCTAATGTTGTGTCCATAAAATACGTCAAAGTTCTCTTACAACATATTTGAGTATTAAATGAGGAAACTTTATAACAATTTGATTCTATAATTGTGTATGTGGTTAAATCGTCTAAATAGTGTGTGACAAGGTCTTTCTTAAACTTTTCCATGCATATGGATAAGTTTAATAAAGATTTTGACGTATTATTCATTGATAATTGATAGAGCCAGAAAATCTCGCTTTCCCGAAAACGTTCCGAAGTACATTCATGGCCATATCTAACCATTAATAATACTTCGAGACGATTTCGGAAATCATTAACTTACATGTCCTAGTAATTGGTAATAATTTTACATGTGCTCGTTAGTGTAATGAAAGTACTATGCAGTATTAATACTTCTTTAAGTACATATAATATACATTAATTTTATCGAATAAGTAATTATGTGCTGTTCCGAGGAATTTATCAGTATTAAAGTACACAAAATTACTGACAAAATTTAATATATTCTTTAATTTAATACCATCAATTTTGTAAAATAAGACATTGTTATTATTAATAAAATGTTAGAATTTAATAAAAATGCTAATAACATTGAATAATATTTTCATATGTTACAGCAGCTGTATAAATATTTTAATATTGATAAATTCCTGAAAAATACTACAAAATGGACTTCCTTTTTTGACTATATAATAGTCAGATTCAGATCTGAAGTCTGAAGCCAATATACATACAGTATTAGAATATATTTTAATGAAATATAGGTATGAAAGAAATTCCAATAGATGGACGTATATTTAGAGATATGTTTTATAAGCTTGCATTGTAAAACAAGTAAAGTGAAGTATTATAGTAGAAAACTTGCATATCTCTAATGCAGCAAAATCTCCATTAGTATGCAGAATGGGCCGTAACCAAAATAAGGTTTCTAATAGTAAACTATAATACAAAAATTAATATTTATATACGCTATAGTCAAATTAATGTACAGAAATATTTTCATAGCTTGATTCAAGAATAATCCAGCCTTTTACGAATACTTAAGATACGGTTAAAACATTAATAACAGATGGGCTGTGGCTGAAATGTTAGTTGAGAGCTATTTTTATAGCTTTTTGACTCTTGAAGAAAATTACAAGGGATAAAGTAATATATTTTGACTATATTTTGAGCATTGCCATTGGTACAGAAAACTAATATGTACAAGTAGAATACACATGTCCTTCAATAATATTAGCCATTTTCAATTTAAAGCATCTTTTCGAATATATCTGTTTATATGTATGTTTCATTAGATAGAGAAAATATTATTTACCGATATCAGATTTCTACATTTTAGATGTGTGTCAGAGTGAATAGCAGTAGATATATTTTTCGTAATGTCTCAACTTATATTTGTCTATTCCATGTCTTATAAGAGAACATTTTAGTTGCAAAGTGAAAACAAAGTTTAACACTTATTTCATTACTATGTATATAACAAATTAAATATTATAAAGGGTTTTGTGCAATAAATGTTAGTAATTTTGTGCTATTACATATTTTAAGAAATTAATCTCAACAGAATATTCTCTTGCATTAGTAAATTATTATAATTCTTTACACACGGAGACGCAAATAACTCTGGTTGCTTCATAATTAATATTTAAACTGATTCCAAGGCAATTATCTTACATACGTGCGCAAATATTTTGTCAATAAGCATATTTTTCATGTATTAATCAGTATTATCTATTATTCCAGGAAAACATATATTGAGATATATATTCCCTATTCTACTTATAATTTAATGTATTTCACTGTAATATTGCTACAATGATTTGCTATGCTCTATAGCTGAAGGAAAACAATTGTATCAAAATGTTACATTCCTAGAACGTTGCATTCGGATAATAGAGTAAATAATATCTGGGCGGATTATCTAAGTAGCAATATAAACGTGATGTAAATGAAAAATGTTGTATGTTAAGTATTGCAAATGATACAAGAAAAGTTGTATCCCATTGTCCCTAGACATATCTGTGCAATAAAATATCTGTAATCATATTATATATGCGACAATCTAACTTAATAAAGTTACCTATATATTAAGTGCTACCAATCTATAAATTACACATAACGTAGGCCAGGCAAGTAAGGCGAATTTTTCTTGTTTAAACAAACATAGTTTTGACCATAGTAACACCCTTGCTGAAACTTATAACATTACTGGTTCATGGCATTACAAGATCATATTTTAACATATTAAAAAATAATATTAGTGACAACTTAGTGTGTGATGTGTCACTTAGTATTTATATTTTATAAATTATTTTGAGTCTTTTCATAGATACAAATGTAAGTTTTGCAAACTCATTTACAATATCCTAAATCATATTATCTAGTTTGTTTTTCTGTTGTTATTAATCATATTGTATAAAAAAGGAAAAAAACTAACAAGTTGTAATGGAGTTATATATTAGCTATATAACAATCTCAGTTAAAGAAACAGTGTCATATTAATATTTGTAAATTATATTAATATTATAGTAAATTATATTTTTTATTTAAACCTCGTGTTCATGTAAAAGCATATTTGGAATGCCATCATTGATGGGAAATTTTCTGCCAGATTCTGGACACAGTAAGTCGCCGTTTATAACCTCAATCTCTAATAGAACATGATGAGCCTTTTTCAGAAAATCTTCGTTCGTCTCAAAATCTTCTATCAAGATCTGAGGTAATTCACCAACATGTCCTATCTGTAACAAGATGCTTAATAATATTCTATTATCATAAAATATTATGCTGCATCTCAACGAAAACATATTGAGACTTACACTCTCTGCAGCTTTCCACAGCACTGTCCAGTCTAATTTTGGAATTATCCTAGCAATAAAATCTGAATTGAAATCTACTTCAGATACTCTGATATCCCTTGCCTGCAAAATTTTACAAGTATCTTTTGATCTTGCTACCTGGATTTCGTACAAAAAGTAAAATATATTATGTTGAGGTTGAGGTTGAGGTTAGGTATTAAGTATAGTTCTTCAGAGTAAGATAGTATTCGACGATAAATACAAACACGATTTGAATAAATTATTATAATTGTCATAACCTATCCTTACTAAACCAACCGAGATGTTTAATCCAAATGATTATCTTGTTTACAAGTTATCATTGACTGCGACTCATTACAATTATAAATACATAAGAATTACCTTCTAAAAAGCAAAAGCGTCTCAATTATCTTACACATCACTATGATCCTACATAAGAAAACCAACCTCAATCTCACCGCGCTAGACAAAATCGAAGGATCACTTACGACGATTTTCAGAGGATAACCGACCGTCACACCTTTCAGACACTTGGATGTTAACATATTGTGCGTGAGAAGCTTCATGTCGCTTAATAATCAGCAATCGGCAACTGCGAGTTACTTATTTAATACAACAACACAACAGAAGTATAAACATGCGCGACGCTACGCAACATACATCACGCGTATTGCTTCTCTCTCCTCTCTTGTCTCTGTGTCTCTCTCTCTCTGGATTAGTATACATTCCTCTGTGTGTCATGCAGGACCTTTCACCGTTTTCAAATGTTTATATGTAAAGGGTTGTACACAACCCAAAATGTACGACGAGCATATATCATTATCCGCACTAGTGTATTATAGACTCTGATTTGTGTTTTTTAAAAAAGAAAGGATGAATTTAAAGGGAGAGGTATAGGATTTAAAGGTTGCCTCAATGATCTCCGGGACATTCTAAATTCCAACGTCGTATAAAGATAGAATTAATTTCTTAGATCCTACCTGGTGTAAACGGCATTTGAATAAAATATATTCCAAGTCCCTATTTGGACAGTCACAATCACAGCGGACGGAGTCTGAGGCCGGTATTCATAGTCCGATCTTTAAGATCATCTTAAGTATTGTCTTAAGATGTTATGAACCAATCACCGAGCCGTATTCGTATCTTAAGACATTACTTAAGACGGTCTTGAAATAAGATTCGACTATGAATACTGGCCTAAGATCGTTTTTGCATAAAGATGCTCCCCAGAGCTAATATGATGGGATCTAATTCGGGCAATTAAACATATGATGTCCCTGGATATCTTTCTCGTTTTAGTAAGATCAATCCACGATTTCTGTGAGATTCCTCAATTTGCCATCCAATATTTCCTTCCCTTATATTCAAACTCTTTAGAGAGCTCATTTTGAAAAACATTTAAGAGTTCAATTATGATTTTCCCAATAATGTCAATAGGATCCAATCCAAATCTTGAGGCATTTTTTCGTTTCTTGACCAGGTAGCGTTTGTTTGGTTAGTTTGGTCCACTTAACGCTCGCAACGCCTCGAACAACAAATATAGAATGACGCTCGAGACGTTGCGAGCGTTAAGTGGACCAAACTAACCAACCAAACGCTACCGTGGTCACAAAAAAACGCTTCTGTTCGAAACCTACAAACATGCTCTCTCTCATCCTGCAACACTCAAGAGGTAGTGCGCGTTCCAGATAGTATATATTCAGTGTTTAGTATAAACATCTGTGTTACCACCACGAAAATGCGCCTAGCGAATGTAGTAAAGGCGCACTTTGTTAGATGGCGTCTCGAAAATGCACTTAGCTCTGGCCATTGAAATCAGACTAATGGCCACTCTCATGATATTGTTCTTATAAAACGTAATAATTATAAATGGCAAAAAAATCGAAAAACCTAGGAAAGAGGAACTTGTCCATTCGATTAGCAATTCAGTTTTGGCTCGAATATTCCTAAATTAAACATATACTTTGCGCCCAAATATTCATGAAACCACAAATCGGAGCTGCGTTTGACAGTTTATGAATAAACGTCAAACTGTAAGTCAATTATTTTTAGCGCACATACTCTTTCAACATAATTTTGAAGATTTGCTCATGAAAGTGTGGATAAATGAGACTAGAGAATCGAAAATATCGATAAGAGATGATCTAAAAACGCTTCTTTCTTCTCCAACTTGCTCGCGATTCTCAGCAAGCATCTATGCTTGGAATTTCTTTTCTCGGCCGTTGTGTCGCACTTAAAATGCGCTACGATTTGGACGACGAGCGCAATTTGGTCAAGCCGAGTGTCAATTGATAAAGACAAAATGACAAGATTACCTCGGCGTTTCCGGAAAAAACGTCTCGCGCTCCGGTTCGTGGCGAAGTAGCTGACAGTCACGTGACTGCTCCCGTTCTAGTCGCATTCGCCTCGGCAGATTGGTTAGAGATAATACCGAGCAGCGATAATCATGTCAGATGCAGAGAAATCGTTCGCCGCGAAGCAATTGATGTCGACGGAATATCGGTAGTCGTTCATTCGCGGAACGGATATAGTGAGTGTCGGGAGCTGAGAGAGTGCGAGAACGGAAGAACGTGAACGGGTTCACCGCGCGCGGAACATATGGTGAAGCTCGCGTATGCCGCGCTACGAGGTGCAAAATCATCTCAGCGAACTGACTGCGGCCACATCATCTGGCCTTGATGAAAATACGCAATCAGCTGTCCCTACCGCCCATTGTTTATCTCGGCCGACGACGAGAACGGTACTCGGTGGGCGCGCGCGATCCTCACCGTTCCCAAGTTGGATTCTAACCACTCTTGACGTGTCGTCAGATCTCACCTCTCGGATACGACACGAGAGAGTGAGAAGAGAAAGAGAGGATTTACCGATCTATGAAATCCCGTTTGCGACCGCGATCCGCCGAGAATTATGTATGATTCGTCCTTGCGATCGCACGTCGAACACGTCTTGCCACCTGGCCGGAGCGGCAAGACCGTATGTGTAACATAAAACGACACAGGTCTTTCGATTGGATCGTGTGATATGTGTCATCGATTTAAAAAACAGTGATATGTCTCGTGTGTAGAGGGGGAAAGGAAAAGATCTTATATGTAGAGAGAAAGAACTTGTAGTGTCTCTGAATTTTTTTTTTTTAAGTTGTACACATTCTTATCGCACGATAATGGAGATTGTCGGGATGAGATGAATTGATTTGAGAAGAACTTTGATGGACCATGTGTACTATCACGAGAGTGAGATCTTGACAAAAAGGGGATTTATTTTTTTTAGCAAACAATGGCTTGCGACACTCTTATTTGGGGGTTGTTGCTCTTGGGATGTAGCATACAGGCATTATGGGCTATATCCGAAGACGACCCCTCAGAATACATGAGCAAGGAAGAGAGAGAAGCTTTAAAGTTTGTATCTTCTATTGTCCATGATAGCACAACATCAACTGCACTAACATTATCAATTTTTTATCTTTGTGCTATATGTTACAGGGAAGAAGCAAGGGATATGTTTTATCATGCATACAATGCGTACATGGTAAATAATAAGTTGCAAATACTTGTTTTTAGTTGTATTATTGATATTGAAATGATAATGTACAATAATTTTTTTATTTTCTTCAAGGATAATGCGTATCCTGCTGATGAATTGATGCCATTAAGCTGCAAAGGACGATATAGAGGATCAGAGCCGAATAGGGGTGATATAGATTCTACATTGGGAAAGTAAGAAAAAGTATTAAATCATATAGATGTATTTCTAGGTAAAATCCTCTATATTTTTCATTTTGATTATAATCCACTCTCTAATATACATTCATGTATTATAATTTTCTAGTTTTTCACTTACTTTGGTGGATACACTAGATACATTAGTGGTAAGTTTGATAAAAATAACTATATATACTTGATATATTATAATTATTTTAAAAAATTAAATGTAAATATTTTTTATGCATTTTAGGTACTGGGAGATTTGGAAGAATTTGAGAATGCAGTCAAACTTGTTGCTAGAGATGTAAGCTTTGATACAGATGTTATTGTTTCTCTGTTTGAAACAAATATTAGGATGTTGGGGTGAGTAAATCATGTTGTTGAAGTAAAAATTGTATATGTGTGTGTAAGATATATTTATGAATATTTTTGTGATGACACACATGCGCACACGCACATACCTCATGTTAAAATGTTATTATTAACAGAGGTCTTCTCAGTGGTCATATATTAGCTGAATATCTGCAACAGCGAGCCGATATAATGCCATGGTATAGAGGAGAGCTTCTAGACTTAGCTAAAGATTTAGGATACCGATTTTTACCTGCATTTAATACAACTACCGGAATACCTTATGGCAGGGTGATTGTTTACACAATACTCTCTTGGTTTAAACGTTAATACACGCGCGATTGTTTTTTTATCCTGATTTTTTACCTATGAATTCCTTTGTATTTTTACTAACTGTAAAATTAAATAATTGCGTGTTAAGATATTCAAATCAGACGCTGTTTGCTTGCTAAACGATTACTTTAACATCTACGTATTTTATAGATCAATCTGAAACATGGTATGAGAGGAGTTCCTATGGAAGTGTCGAGAGAAACTTGTACTGCCTGTGCGGGCAGTATGATACTAGAAATGGCTGCTCTGTCGCGATTAACAGGAGAATCGATTTTCGAGGTAAACTATTAACTATACGGATACGAAACGGCTAAATGCCGTACTAAATATGATAGTGTATGTATTCTCTATTAATTAAAGCAATTAATATTGAAATAGTTAAACTATTATCATAAAATAGTTAAATCATCTCCCTAGGAGAAAGCACAGAAAGCCATGGACGTTCTATGGCGAATGAGGCATCGCGGTACAGACTTGATGGGATCTGTACTGAATGTAAACTCTGGAGATTGGGTACGAAGAGATTCCGGGGTCGGTGCTGGTATAGACTCTTACTATGAGTATTGTCTCAAAGCGTATATCTTACTCGGTAATTATCTGTATATAGTTGTATATGCGCTACCATTTTTATGCTGCCAAGAAAACATCTATAATTATTTTGTACTTTATGTGCAGGTGATGAAAAATACCTAGGACGTTTCAACAAGCACTACCAAGCTATAATGAAGTATGTTAGTCAAGGACCTATGTTATTGGACGTACACATGCATAGACCAAACACTAATTCCAAAAATTTCATGGATGCTCTATTGGCCTTTTGGCCAGGTTTGCAGGTATATTATTGACTTGATTGATAAGAAAGAAATTGCTCATTTGACGTTACTTTTTAGGTGCTTAAAGGTGACATCAAACCTGCTGTAGAAACACACGAAATGCTGTATCAAGTTATGCAAAGACATAATTTCATACCAGAAGCATTCACCACTGATTTTCAGGTACATATTATTTTAGCATTATGACCGGTCTTAATTATAAACATTAAACAATTCTTCTTATATATTTTCTCTTATAATGTATATCTTATAAAATGTAGGTGCACTGGGGACATCATCCACTAAGACCAGAGTTTTTAGAGTCCACCTATTTCTTATACCGAGCTACAGGCGATCATTATTACTTAGGAGTCGGACGTAAAGTGCTCAAGAGTCTGCAAACCTACGCGAGAGTTCCGTGCGGTTATGCAGCTGTATCAGACGTTAGAACTAACAAGCATGATGATACAATGGACAGCTTTGTATTGTCTGAGACCTTCAAGTACTTATTTCTATTATTTACGGAACCAGGAGAACTCGTTTTAGATTTGGATGAATTTATCTTCACCACCGAGGGCCACCTACTGCCACTCACACTTGCTTCCATAAGAACAAATATCTCGTCTGTAAGTGTATAATATATTGCTAAGATAAATTATGAAATTGTATCTTTGACGTTTCAATCAAGCAGGATTTCGAGCGCGATATCGTACACGTGGACGAGTTCGACCGTACTTGTCCAAATAGCTTGCACTTGTTTCCCGCTTCGGTGAGACAACCTTTGAGAAATATGGTCGAAGATGTATGCCCGAGGCGGTCACTCAAGCGGAGATTAAGCGCATCGCAATTTCAGGTATATTTCAATAATACTGGCGTATCTGTCCTAGTAAAGAAATATAACTAAAAAACTTTTTTTTCTATAGGCTAATAATTTGGAACATCTGAAAATGTTGAGTGATATGGGAATAACGACTCTAACTCTAGCAGATGGGCGGGTTCAACTTTTGCACACATTTTCTAATGTAACTAATTTGTTACATCAAGCATTGTATAAGTTTTGCTTGTTATTTTGTTATTATCTGGCTTCACAACGAATTAATGTATCTTGTTTCTTCAAATAGGCAAAGACCCCGCAAGATTCGGAGGAAGGATTACTGTTCATGCAGGAGATGGTCGAACTGAGTAAAATGCAAACGCAACAGCCAGAAACTAAGCCGCAAACAGTGACGTTCGTGAAACCTAAGACTGATCCACCGGAAAAAATTACGCTACTAGCTGGGCCAGCACAGTTTGGTCCCGAACTGCAGAGTTTCGATAAGATAACCGGAAAAGTGACATTCACGTATCCACCCGCAGCTTGTACCGATTTGCTCAACGCGGACAAATTGGCAGGAAAGATAGTAATCATGGATCGTGGAAATTGCATGTTCATAGAAAAAGTATGCTACTTTTCGCAGAACATCTCTTTTTTTAACCGGTTCTCTATATTTTTTTATTTATTTTTTTGTATACAATTTTAGGCGCGAAGAATTCAACAGGCTGGTGCGCTTGCTGGAATAGTGTTGGACAATATTGCTGGTTCAAGCGCAGCGACTTCGCCCATGTTCGCAATGTCCGGTGACGGAAAGGAGATGGACGACGTTACAATACCCGTCGTATTTCTATTTTTCACGGAAGCGGCAGAGTTAATGAAAGCTATTAACGCGGCGAATGGCGATCTCACTGTCACACTTGGTAATATAAGGATAATAAATATGTCATATAATAAAAAAAATTATAGATATATCATGTGCCAGGCTAATTATACGTTAATTTCATTATATATTTGTCAATTATAGGAATATATTCTTCGAAAGAAGAAGTTCAACTTAAAGCACCTACAGATTTGTCGCTGTTTGAACGTCTAAAAGGATCGTTAAAATCATTTCTTAGCCGACATATGACGCCACAGGTCTGTTGGTATTTAAGTTTTTACTCGCAAGAATTTTATAAAAAATTTCCCTTATTTTGTAAAAAAAAAAACAATGAAATTCTGTATGTTTATAGGCAGCAAACACAGCATCTAACCTGGATATTACGATTCCTGTAGTCGAATCTCAAGAATATCAAGAGGATACTATCGACTTCCATTACTTTCATGCGGAAATCATCAAAGATTCACTTGGTGGTGAAGTGAGGATTACCGCGCCGTCCGAAGATGCAATTATTATCTTAAGACCAGTTTCTACGCCAGTAGAGATTTTGTGGTATCAGTTAAAGGAAGTGTTTGTCAATCAAATATTCCTGAACAGCAAGCAAAATAAGGGTATACGAATTAGGAGTTTTATTTTGGAAAGCTATTACAACTGGGTAAATAAGGCACGAGGTGTGCTAACTAAAACGTCGTTGTCCTACAAAGTTCGCTGGTTCTTGAGCGAGTTGCTAGTTGTTGCGCCTAATTCGTCTATTAGGAAGATGGGACAGTTACTAGAACCAACGAAACAGAAACTGTTGAAACAATATCTGCTCACAAACATGGATACAATGGTGCTAAATTTAAAGACTGTGGCTACGAAATTGAAAAACATGAAATCGGTAAGACCCGACATGGAGCAATTGCTCAAAATTTCGGAATCGGGCATCGCACAGGTGGAAAATTATTCGTTCTTACGTCACTTGCTAGCGGATCTATTCGACGAGGAAGACGAAATCGTTAGTCAACACATCGCTCTTTTGGATCACATTCACGCGGAGGTGCATACTACATATCAAGAAATATTAATCGACGGAGTGCAAAAGCATTTGGAGAAAGCGGGAGAGGAAGACAGTTCGTATTACGATATATTGATTGCTGATCTGCAAAAGAATTTGAAGAATGTGGATAAAGGAGAAAATTTACTTGGGAAAACTAAAGAGGACGACTTAGCGGTCGCGGAATTCATAAGCGACAGTAATGGTGGAAAATCGGATCTTAAAGGTAGAAATATCAAGATCCTAGATGAAAATATGAAGATCCTAAAGAAAAGTAAGGAATTGGATACCGAGAAATTGGAGGATTTCGAATACTTTATACTGACAGAAATAGGGAAAGCAGTGAAACATTCCGCGCAAAATATCTTGCACAAGTATGAAGGTACGAATGATGTGTCGAAGAACGTTGTGACAGAAAATAAGAAAAGCAAAAATTCCGATAAGAGTAAAATTACTTTGCACTCCCCTCAAAATCAAAGTAAAGGAGAAGATAGGAAGAGTAAAACTCAAAGTTCCCTCAAGGAGGAGATAGATTCCTTGCGAACGACGAAATCAGTAGATGTAAAAATCGAGGAAACAGTCATTGAAGACGGACAAGAAGAAAAATCTACAGATTCTTCAGTGGATATAAATGTTTCTAATGCAAAAACAACTTCTACTGATGAAAGACGTGCATTATTGCAGGAAATTCGAAAGGAAATCAGTGACACGCAACATAAACACAAAACTGACTCCAAGGCAAAACCATCTAACCAGAAGAATGTAGTTGAAAGTAAAATCGTACCTACTGATGTGTTAGAAGAATTTAAAAAACCTATATGGGCTGCCAACGAGGAGAAAGACTTTAAGGACTCACAAGTTTCAAAGCCGCAATATAGTGCTGTAGAATCAAGTGAATTAAAATACAAAAAAAAATCCAAGAACATAAACAAAGATAAGGAAGTTAAACCAAAAACCCATAAAGCCAAACATATCGACGATGAATTATAACAATAGCTTTTGAAATTTAGGTCAAATTATAATTATTATGCAAAGACAAAGATTCGATTTCCAACGGCCATAAGGCTATCTGCACCTCAACTGATATTTTTGCACTGTGATCCAGGTGTGCGTGCAGTGATCTTTAATGACTTTTATATGTACAAGATATCCTAGAAAAATATTCCAGTTACTTCGTAAAGCCTACTTTAGACGATATGCAATTCGCGATAGAATTCAGCTCGCAATAAAGCACAAAACATCAGAATTAGATTTGTAAGTATACGCATATGTATACATTTGTAAAATTGAAAGTGTGTTTTTTATATTATATGGCGTATGAAACTCTCACGATTCACTGTCGCGAATTATCAATAATTTAAAGTGGGCTTTAAAGAAGAAATAAAAATTAAAGTCGTCAGAGTGTAACGACTCTATATATTATAATTCTATAAAGGGATTTTCTGGATTCTTGGAACTGGTGCTTACGAGAAAATCTATTTCGATTTGTTATTCCAGGTGAAAAACGGTGATGTTACTATAAAATGTATAATAGGTACTGTGGATGTAGCTTGTATAACACACGTGTGTTAAAGTGGTTGTGAAGATATTCTGAACAGGGCGCTAAACACTGATGTACATGTGTATCGTAGTATGATCTATATGTTTAAGTATATGATATAACGGCATATTATTTCTTCCACAGAAGCAGATTTATGTTTCGATGAGTCTATTCTTTGACTTCTATGTATTATATAATTGTATTATATGACTGTAAATTTATGAAAAGAGAAAAGCGCTAATATTCCGTGATGTACGAGCTGATAACATTACGAGTCAGAATAGACACATTGTTATTATTCTTCTTTTGACATTTTGTACCATTTTACTCCAAAGATGTGCCATTATTAACGATAATATATATTTATCTTACATTGCAGTGTTTAAAATAACATTTAGTGTACAAATAGATACGTTTTTAAAGCAGTTCTCAATCTATTGTGAAGGACACAATATCTATTGTGAAGGATCTATCAGACAAATTTTCTTCGCTTAATGTTAAAGATTGATTAACAAAACTTTCTGCCAATTGCATATCGTCTCTCATTATTATATAAACAAATCTAATTTATGCCGACTCATGTTAAGTTCTGGAAATTCAAATCTACATTCAATGTGGTATTAGGCGATGAACGACGATATGTTAAATATAAAATAATGTAACGATTCAGAAAATTATTTTAGTTGTGATCCGTAGGTTAAGATATGCCTTAAATGTACATAAACTTGTACATACAGAGATATGTCAATGTATATAATGTATAAGAAAAGTACTATGTTACATAAAGTAAATTCTATCATAGTGTTGCAGAGATAATCCAATATAAGTTTGGCCTTTTGATAACTTTCTGCTTTATATACTATATATATATATTTTTTTTTTTTTTTACTTGGGAACTTGTACACCAGTTATATATGAATACATTCTATGAAGTACAGCATTAATCTCCCTTGTAATAGCATAAGAAATCATTCTTTAATGTGCACACGTGTCCAAATATTCACTATATTGATTTCAATATCATGTATTTTAGTTAAACATATATATATATATATATATATATATATATATATATATATGTTATATGCTATATTATGCATATTATATATTGTAAATAGAAACACTATAATGCGCATCTAATGAGTCTGCTGTTTGATGTCGAATAACAATTTGCTGATGGATGCCAAACTGAATATTATCGAGTATATTGTACATTAAAGTGATTATACCTTTCTGTAAGTTGTCTGATTGTATATATGAATATTGCCTAATACACCACTATATGTAAGTGGTTTTTTTGAAAGATACATGTTGAAATAAAAAAAAAATATTTAAAAAAACATGACTAATGTTTAAAATGCAATTACTAAATACTATTGCAAACATATAACATATATGCAGTTTACACAGATAAATATGTTCATTTTCTCAATTAAATTTTTATTACTGCAGTATCAACTGACCAAAAACATTTAAACAGTGCAAAATAAAATTACAATTCTATGTACTTATACACATTGTTGCCTCCAAACCTTTTAAATGTCTCACTGCAAACTTATCAATATTCTGTGGGCATAGTTTTGACATCATCTAACAGATGTGCATGAACATAAAGCAACAATGCAGCAGAGGGGAAACAAAATGTACAAGGTGTAACAGAACAATATACATCTTTTCAACATATGTGTTATCTTGTCAATTTCGAATTAATTCCTCTTTTATCTTTTATTCACATTTTTTAATAAACGACTGGCTATTCTGGCATAATGCACAACGTTCCGTCTTGAATTTTTAGAAAGGGAAAATCGATTCGAAAATAGTCGGAGAATTTACAGGAAAAACAGATTGATCTGGGACACCCTCTGTAGTCAGTAACATTAGTAGCACATCGCTTGCACTTTTCTATAACCTCGTCTCACCAGGGTGAAACGAGCGATATACGGTAATGAATAAACGAAAGTGATACACGCAAATCGTTACGTCTGGACAGAGGAAACTGCGTGTTAAATCGGAGCGTGTCGTAAAAGCACTCAAGACGTGCAGTCGCGTGTCCAACGCTCGAAAATACGTATTTCGACGTTCACATTTCGGACTTACGACAACCTGTCTGTTAGTCGTCGTTGGCGTTGCGTCAATGTAACGGAGCTATTTTAATTTCGAATTTCGGACGACCCTGATGTACGCTATCGAGTATCTGAGACGCACTACGAGCTCGCACTGGTATTTCTGCGACACAGATCGGAATCTACGACACGCTAGCAATTGATTGCGAAGGTAAGGCATTCTATTTGTCTCCAACGTACACGATGAATCAGTATATCTACCATGTGTTACTGACTCATTAATGATGCAACAATGATGTAGTATTCATTAATATTCCTTTCAATAATTCCTTTATATTTCGCCTATCTTGTATATATCTCGTACCTCGATTATATACATTAAATTTTTGTGAAAAACTGACATATTTGTGATAAAATAGTATTTAAAAAGTTTGAAGATGACAATGCATATTGAACAAGTGTACATGGTTGTGTTATTGAATGTTTTGTTAGTTTCCAATATCGTGATTTAAAGACATATTTGTTACCACTGCGTGTACAGAGCTTCCGTTTATAACTGTCTTAGTAAGCTGAATCGTACTCTAAACCTAAATTGTACTCATTTTCTTCTAATCTGTTCCAATTCAATATATATTTCTCTGATCACTATTATTTTATCGTGATGTTAATTAGAAGGATCAAATTGTTTTCTCCTCAAGATGGGTGATATCAAGTACTATGGAAAAAGAAGAAGTATCGTAAGGAGAATCGGTTCCTTTCTACCACTGAAACCACCACCAAAAATCTATGTCAGTGTAACACCCTTGCACTCCATGACAAGCTCAATGATAAATGAGGATTCTAGTAGCAATTATATGGATACTAACGGATACGGTCCTGTAAGGTCAGTAATTTGTCTTGTCGAATAGTAATGAACTGTATTATTTCAAGTATAGATCTCAAAATATCATGATATCATTTTTTTAAATTGAATTTGGTAACAGACTTTCTGGCAGCAGACCAGATCTGTTAGAACCAATTAGTTTTGGATCTGAAGTGCGATTACTCGCGCTAGAGCAGGAGTTGCAAGAACTTAGGGAACAAATCTCCACAATTGTGAAAAACAACAAAATGTCCAAACGTATGTGCAACAAGTCCAAGATGTAGCATCTGGGAATAATTGAGAAAATTTACAAAGACACGTTTGTTCTTTAGACGCGTCTGTTGTATCTCTGCCCAACGGAGCAGGTGACGGTGAATCCTTGCCAATGTCACCGCCTCTGCCACCCCCACTTCCACCGCCACCTACAACGCCGCATATCGCGAGGAGGGCTAGCTTGCAAGATCATAAAATCGAGGATCGCAAAAAGATCACGATGAACGTGCAGAAATCGACGGGCGATATGCTGAGTGATATCGACAGCGTAAAATTGCGGCCAATCGCGAGGTATTTCGTCACGAGAGAAAAGGGCGTTGTGTGCTAGCGAAAGTTTAAAGTTTAATTCTCAGTCGAGTTAAAGCAATATTATATCGATTCTTTTCTCACAGATCTCCAGGTGGACATCCTATACGAGTGAAACGCGAGAATAGCCCGTGCAATGATTTGCAGGAGATACTACGAAGACGTTACGTCGCTATCGCGATGCAGTCTCCTGACAGCAGAAATTCGTCGACGGCCAACCTAGCTATGGACGATTCATTTTGAGCATCGTACGTGAAAGCGAATGTTATTCAATGTACATTCACGCGAAATTTAGGACTTTTGCATCAAGTAATAAGAAGTGTCGCGACGTACACAATACCGTTTACGTTCGTAATCTCATTTGCACTTTGCATTAGCTGAAGCCTACAGTAAGAGTCTTAAGCCAAAGATCAGTTCACTATACCGACGTAATATAACTCTAGTAGAGTCTTTCTTTTGTAAGGAAGAAGTCATGATCAAAGCTTAGTCCTTTTGCTGGTGTGATTTGAGAAAGGCCATTTTAATTTTTTACGACTGAAGCAAATACTCTAGTTTTGCAGGTAAAGCTATTGCGATATCAGAATCTCACAGTGGTTTTTCTTGCAAGATCCAGCCATACAATTGTCCGACATAGATAAATATTATTTTTACGGCGGCTCGTGACGAGATGGATAGATAGATAGATAGGTAGATAGATAGATAGATAGATAGATAGATAGATAGATAGAGTATACGATTACTGCTACTGTTTATATATCACTGACGTAATTGAGAAATTTTAGTCGATCTGATGTAAGAAAAATAAATTCTATTGGTCCATACCTATTAGAATGAGATCTGTATTGCAACAATTTTATAAGTAAGTTGTATTCTGTTACGTCTGAATACGTGGAACCTGCTTCTCTTAAATTTTAAAAACGTTGACTCGAAGTTTTGTAACTGCGCTGGCGCAGAATATACCTCAATGAACATATTGAATATCAAGATCTGCGTGTGTATGTGAAAGTGTGCAAGATATTTCACTACTAATCTCACTCTTCTAGAGTATCTCATTATATATTAGTTCATTTTTATATTGATATTCGCTCAATCTCACGATAACTTTTAATACCGTCTAAATTTTATGAAAATCTCATGTGGAGTATCAATGATACTTTGTCCACTATCTAAGACTTGAATCCGGTGAATTAATAATCCCGCATCCAAGAGAATAAAATGAGAAATGAAGGATAATTGCAATACAGTCATACGCGGATCATTAGAAATTTATTTTTCTTACGGTCATTATTATCTGTAACTATGTATAGCGGTAATACGGTTGGACGAATATTGAACATATTGTCGCACACAAATTGATATAAAACCATATACACAACATGTGAGCGTTTAACTGATGAAATATGCGGCATAAGTCACCGTATTTATGCTGAGTGGTTCAGCGGTTCAGAAACTCTGGTGGATTTGGTAGTCTTTTTGTATGCACCTATGCGCGCCACGGTGCATCCAACCGTAATTCGCTAATAGAAATTATTTTCACGAAAATAATGTGGTCGTTCGGATAGCGAACAAGCATCTAACAAGAGGATTGAGTTAATATACTTTGGAATGCTTTTTGGACTGGTCCCACTGATATTACTTGAAACAAATTTTGCTCATTATGCAATTTTTGTCTTCTTATCTGTATAAAACGGTATAAAAAGAATAGCTATTCACTAAAACGGATTTACTCAACGCAGGCTGTTGGTTGTAACCGGGCTTTAAAGTACTAAAATTGCGATAACTTCTCATTGGATATTTTCGTTTACAAATCTATTGTTTGTAAAATTCTGAGAAATTTTAAGTAGAATTACATTGCGTAAAGATTTGCTAGTGATCTTATTACACTAGGAGGGGTAAATTTACTGTTCGATACGATGTCACGTTTCTAGAAAAAGATCTGAGATCACACTTTTACCTATATTAATAGTTATTATTTGAAACTTGTCTTGGGTAAAATATTTAGGCTTGAACTTAAATATGTGTTTTCCAGCTTCGCAATTGCATACGTAATGTCACATGTATTATATAATAAAAGAACTCATCTAACTCTTTAAATTCAGATCTGAGTATCTCACAAGTGGGACAAGTTTCAAGTAAAGACTATATGGATCTTTATGGAAAGAAAAGTAGTACACAAATTGATATCAGTTGATTTAATAATACAGAAAGGAATCGGCAAATAATCGGAAATATCGATGCTTTTTTTCTTTTTAAAATAAATATACAACAGGCTTCTATATTTCCGCGGGTGGATATGTGTAACAAAATCGAAAAGTGGAATTCTCAATTTTAATCGCGTAGAGGGACTTGTACGCCACTCGTATTCGGAGACTGAACGGTATCTTCGACGATATTACGAATGTACAGATGCGTTTTATACATGAAGCTTTTATCGACGACTTATGAAAATAAACTTTATTGTTAAATAACACCACGTATAGATCTTCCTGAAATAAGAAATTTGCCCGTTCCACGAAATATCCACTTCTATTGGCTGTTTCAATATTACAAACGTGCGAAATTTACTCCTACGACGACATTCACGCACGAAATTCGCTTCCAACGAACCGCGGAGAATACGAAGCACTTTTTTTAAAATCGAATCATGGCGTTTGTATGTATTTCGATGATTTCGAATTGGCGCCTGAAAATGAGCGGGCTTTGTACTGCGCCACTTCCGGTCGTGTAATTTAAGCTGTTTTCTAGAAAAGGCACATAAAGCTACTTTGATTGGCTACTTATTTCAGAACATATCTTATAGCGAATTCGGTTACTTGCACTAGTGTGCACTGAGTGCGCACTAAGGCTTGTTCATAGTATGTTATTATATTTAAAAATTGTCTTAAATAATTCTCAAATAAATTCTCAAATATTTTTAACCATAATATGATATGTATAACATCCGTACGAATCATTTTATTAGTTAAAATGTTTTTAAATATGTATTTAAGACACGATCTTAAATATAAGAATGTACTGTAAACAAGCCTTAATGCGCACTCAGTGCGCACTAGTGCAAGCTACCGAATTCGCTATTAGATAATGCGTGGCCAATAAATTGACTTTATGCGACATGGTGTTTCTTGCTGGAAAATCGTCTAATTTACTTCTCAAAACCAAACAATTTAAATCATGCAAAATCTTCTCATCTCGTTATAAAAAAATGTTAAAACAGACGAAATTATCAAAAGATCTTCGATTTGTCGCGTATTTTCACCATCGGAATAACTGTTCCAAAGTTCAAAGTGGTAGCCGTCCTATGACGTCACGTCCTCAGTTGCAGCCGTTTGGTTGCGAGTTCGAACACGCATCGTAGTCCCTCCGTGTTCGTCGCGTCTTTTGATCGGTCAGAGGTGAGCTTCGCGGGCGAATTTGTGTCGGAAGTGTTGTTTCGGTGACGAGTGATCGTTTCGATGCACCAATTGGTTCGCGTGAGCGCAATTGAACGAGAAATCACGTTATTCGTAGCCGGTGCCTATACCGTCGCGTCGGGAACATGGGAGTCATACAAGACGCCGACGAGGGGAAGCGCATTCGCTTTTGCTTGAGGCAAAGGATATCTCGGGAGTTGGGGATATCGCATCGTGCTTTCGTATTTCGGTGAGTGCATGTTTTCTATTAGTGGATTAGTAATATTGCACCGAATTAGCTATTTCCGTCGACAAGATCGACAAAAATAATGGCGTCTTGCGCGATTGAGATAGCGCTTAGTAACTGCGCGGCGCGCCGTCCGATGGCGCCACGCGTCGCTCGCGGAGCGCATGATACAGGATCGATGGATAGATTCAGAATCAGTGGAGCGCGGGAATGACAACAAAGTTCGGCGTGAGTCGAGGAGACGCGCACTGGCGCATTTCGCTCGACGCTCTCTCCTTCGAATGGATGTAGTCGCTGGTAAATAAAGCGCGTTAACGCGAGTCCCGCAGTCGCGAGCTGTATCTTCCGCATGTCGAGTTCGCGTGAGAACGATGGTACGGGAGCCGTGCGACGTCCCGGGCACCGTAACGACAATCGCTTCTTGATCCGCATCTACGACGTGAGAACCGAACACGCACCGTGTCACGGCCAAGGTGAGGACGAATCCCGGCAGAAGCGATTCGACGAATCGAAAAAGATCGCTCGCCATATGTGCGCGTGTAATCGGCGTTGGAATGGAGTCGAGACGCTTCTCATTTCGTAGGTAACCTCTATGAAGCACTTTCGATGTGTTGATCAAAATCGCATGTAATAAGTTATGAAAATGTTGATGTGACACTTCAGTTTTACTCTTTGGAACGAATACAAGCGTGCGCGCGTGTGCGTGTGTGTGTGTGTATATATACGATATGTGTCGAATCTGTGCATTCTAACTTTTCTCAATCATTCTCTATAACCTCTAGCGACGATCTGCATCTATAGAAATTACCTGTCGAATGAAAAGAATCGCAACTGCTCCAATACCGACTACGTACATATATATGTACGTATGTGTGTGTGTGTTGCGTGCGTGTGTACGTTCCACATATGAGTATATAAATGCGGACGATGCGGAAATTTTCTCGAACTGCAAACTCAAATCCGACCCGCGATTTTTCCTAGTCGAATCGAAAATCGCGCTTAGTTCGTCAGCGCGAAGATAAGTGGTCTGTTCTTTTCAGCTGCACTGCTGAACTGGTGCAATAAGTTAAAGTGAGACAAGTATATGTTTTCTCACTCTAACTTATTGCACCAATTCAGCAGTGCAGCTGAAAAGAACAAATCAAAGATAAAAATCGTGCATAGGACACATTCTCGATGCTGCAAGCAGTGACATGCGCGAATCGCTGCGTCGATTTTGGGATGCACGGGAATATCCTGTTTCTCTCGCTTATCCGGCAGTATGCTATTAAAATGTTAATGACCCTTCCACAATCACGACGCTTGATCTCGTTTGCTAATCGTTGCATTAGCGCGTGTCATTCATCCTTTTGCGTTTTTGTTTTCAACTCGAAAGTCTATAAATATTATTATCAAGAACGCGATTAGGAATTCTCGTGTGTGGTTAGAAAAGTAACAATCTTGAGCAGATATTACGTCGTCCGACTGTATGATACTTTCGTGGTCAAAATGAGGTTATGATATCTTGTCACTGAAGCGTTTATACACTCAGAAAAGAATACATAAAGATTTATTTGTGAGATATAAGTTCATTTAAACAGAAACGAGTACTATAAAGTCTAATCTACAATGTGCTCCTTGCTTCTTGTTCTTTATTTTTATATGACTTGAGTCAGAAAAGCTTGACTTAAAATATATTCTTTGCTTCCTGCTTCTTTCTCTTTATCTCTTTCTGATTCAAACCTAAGTCAGAAGCTTTAAGTCAGAAGAAGACAAAAGATAAGAAACAGAACGCAAAGAACAGATTGTAGATTAGGCTAAAGAGATAAGAGGAGAAGAAAACAGGAACCAGGAGGCACATTGTAGATCAGACTTTAGAATCCGCATTTTTGTTCTTTTTTCAAGTCCGACTAAACAAACGGAACACGCGAGATATCACTCACACATTCTATATCGTGTGTGGTTATCGCGAAAGAGAAAGAGAAGGGAGGAAGAGAGAGAGAGAGAGCTCGTAACGCAGTGTTTATTAAACGCGCGGCTTTCAGGAGGAAATTCGAACGCAGAGATCCGCATCGACTCGCGACGACGATGGTCGAGCTGCCCAGGCTACCGCTGGACATCGTCGTGCCACCTGGTGTGCTCTCGCGCCGAGGAGGGGTCACTATATCGGAGCAGATCATCCGGACGCTTCTCAACGTGAGTGAAACTATAATTAGATGTAATCAACGGTGCGCGTAGATTGTGGTCGGGCGGGTGACATAACAAGCGAAGGAGACGCCTGGCGTGTCATATTATAAACGCCGGGTATTTATCGACGGCCCGCCTATAATACACACACGCCGCTGCGAATCCGCTCTGAGCGAGTGGATTAAAAATATTCTCGGGACACCTTTCGTCCTTCCTTCGCTCCCTCGTTATGCCGGCTCGTCGCTGAAATGTCCTAGCCTGTTCTGGCGCGAAACGGCTCGCTTGTCGTGTAAACGGGCGTGCTGCACGCGAGCTAGGTTGGGGGGCAGGAGGAGGGTTGCGAAATTAAAAAACCGCGCTCGCTCGCTCGCCGATTCGACCCCGATTTTTGCGCTGTTTATACTCGTTTCCTTCGATCCTAATATGCGAACACGTAGCAGGCGCGGCTTTGCCGTGAACAATCATTGTTTGAGCCACACTTGAGTCACTTGGCAACCCCTAAGAATTGTTCACGAATGGAACAATAAATAGAAGGAATGATTCATCGCATAAAAGATAAGATAACAGTCCCAATTTCGAGTTAAACTTGGGGGCTTATTAATGTTATTAAAAAAGTAGCACACACATCATAATGAAAACACGGAAAACATTTTTTTGACGATTCAATTCTGAGATTACATTCACAAACATTTGAAATATTTTGAATATTTACGAAAAAAAATCTAGGATATCAGCTTTGCCGATTTTTTGAATTTATGAAGCGGCTAGTGAATTGTTACGTATAACATTATTCTGTATAGACTAAAACATGGACATTGTTAATGTAAAATCGTACAACCCGTTACATAGGCGCGTAATATTTGCCGACGCGTAATGGTTTAATTAGTTTAACCTAAATTAATTTAAAAAAATAATTGGAAATATGCGCGTCTTGCGCGTAACTCATGATTAGGATTTTTACTTTAACATCTCGTTATGTCCTCGACGCGTTATCCTTCGGGGAGAAGCGAGGAAGTATGTCGTAGCTGTGTAGCGAGATTAACGGAGCGCTAATCGCGGTGTCGCGATCTCGAGAGTGGGAGATGCAAAGAGCGAGTCGAAGCCAGAATATCGCGATAGTAACGAGGCGCGTGGCTAGGCGATTTTTTCCTTCATCTTACAGTCGCGCATTGCCGATCGTCGGCGGCGGCGCGCATGCGATAAGATCGGAGATGAAGGAGAGCACGAAGAAGAAGGGGATTTAATGTGATTTCCGCGGGTGCTCTCTTTTCTTCGTTCAGGCGGACGTAGGGGAGCGTGTAAGAGCACTTTGTGTTACGTTCTATTTATTCGCGTTGGAGACGCGACGGAGAGGCGGAAAGGGCGGCGAGGAGGCGAGCGAGCGAGCGAACGAGCGAGCGAGAGCGAGGAGGCAGGCGAGGTGCGCGAAGGGTAGAGAAGGAGATCGCTCAACTTAACGGGGGGCGAATAATTCCTCTGTACGAGCACTCGCGTGTAAAAAGAGATCGAGGTGATGGCGGAGACGCGGCCCGGAACAAGGGGACTCCGCTCTCTTTCGCCCTCTCGCGCGAACGAACGAGCGAGTCGAGCGATCGGCCGAGCGAGCGAGCGCGAGTCTCCTTTTATATGGGGAAGAAGGTGCGCTTCAGGTGCGTAAAGTCCGGATCG